GTATCTATGTATTACATCCCTAGAAAAAGAATCCCTGAATTTCCCCTCCTGTGTGTTTTCATCTTATTCTTCATGGTCCATGATGCTGAGGTTGTCAGTACAGTGAAACTGTACACCTGACAGGAGGAGAGCAGATTATTCTGCGATTTTTACTGTATTTTATTTTATCTTGAGACAGTCTCACTGTGTAGTTCAGCTGGTCTTGAACTCATTATGTAGTCCAGGTTGGCCTCAAACTCAAGGCAATACTCCTGTCTCAGCCTCCGGAGTGCTGGGATTACAGATGTGCACCACCATGCCTGGCTTTCTGCCATTTTTCTAGACCCTTGTCTGAGGCTGAACATGCCGCAGGATTTTAAATTTAGGTATATGATTGGTTTTGTGCTTTTGTTTTTATGTATTATTTCAGGTATTGACCATAGTTCTTTTTTGTGCTTAGAGATGTCTCAATTGTACCACAACCATCTGTTGAAAATATTATCCTTTCTCCACTGCATTTACATATCATCTTTTGCTAAAAATTATTTATCCATTTAACTGTAGATTTATTTCTGGACTCTGTATTCTGATCCACTGATCTATTTGTCTATCTTTGTGATAACAACAATGCTATTTTGATTGTAGTAGTCTTATAATAATTGTTTTTATATTTAAAATGCTGTGTGTGGGGGGGGATTGAACCCAGGGCATTTGCACTAGACTATATCCCCAACACCAGTCCTCTGAGCCCCTCTTTAAATTTTTGAGAAAGGGTCTTGCTAAGTCACTAAATTGCCTAGGTTAGGCTTGAATTTGTGATCATCCTGCCTCATTCTCCCACAGTGCTGGGATTAGAGGCATGTACCACCATCCCTGGCTAAAATTCATTTTAAAAATGGTACTAAGGAGTTTCATGCATTCTAGACAATTAATTGCTGTACCACTGAACTACATTCTATCCCCACTCTTTTTTTTTTTCTCATTGAATTTATTGGTATACAGTACAGTAACATTCATCATTGGGATCTTGTACCTTTACATGACAGGTCTTGGTTCTCATTTTTTCCCCTTGTCCCTGCCCTCCCTCCTCCCCTCCCCATTTACAAACATTTTATTTCCATTTTTTCATTTTATCCTATTTTTTTCTTTCCCTTATTACCTTTCTCCTACCCTTCCCACTTTCCCTACACCTTTAGCCCTTTTCTTACTGTTTCACATTGTCAATTATCTCATTAGGATCTTATGTACTATTATAGTTTGTTCACACCAGAGAAACTATTCGGTATTTACACATCCCCCATTCCCTTTTGAGGATCTCACTGAGTTGCCCAGGCTGACCTGAAATTTGGGATTTTTTTTTTTGCCTCAGCCTCCTGAGTGCTGGGATTATAAGTGCGCACCACCACACTTGGCTCCATTTATTTCTTATTTTCTACCACTTAGCTTACCACATCTCCATACCTGCACTGACTTACTGGCAGTTCCTTGACCTAGCATAATCCTCATCTTTTATCTCTTGACGTTTTTCATATATGCTGTTCCCTCTGTTCTTCTTTCTTTTTGTGTTGATCTGGTTAAACCCTACTTGACAATTAAGACTCAACTTAAATATTTTAATTTTTTAGGAAATCTTTCCTGAAAGCCACAGGCTAATTGGATGTCTTCTGTGCTTCCACACTTTTATGCTTATTTTATCATAGCACTTAGCACATGAATTGCAATGATCGGTTCCCTTGCCTGTTTTTCTTTTCTTTCTTTTTCTTTTTCTTTTTTTGGTACTGGTGATTGAACATGGGTCCTTGTGTTTGCAAGGAAGGTGGCAGTGAGCTAAATCCCTGACTCTCTTTCTTTCTGTTTTCTCTTCTCTTCTCTTTCTTTCCTTCTTTCCTTCCCTCCCTCTCTCCCTCCCTCCTTTCTTTCTTTTTTTGTTTTTTGAGACAGAGTCTCACTATGTAGTTGAGACTGCCCCTGGAACTCACTGTGTAGCCCACACTGGTCTCAAACTCATAGTGATCCTCCTGCCTTAGCCTCCTGAGAGCTGGGATTACAGGTGTGCACCACCACATCTGGCTCCCTTGCCTGTTTTTCTATCAGCGTGAGGGTAGCAATTTATATGGTTCTATTTCCTAACACTTAATGTAGGGCCTAGTTCAGAATAGGGATGCAGGAGAGCAGGAGACAAAGTTTGTTCTTAGCTCTACCATTATGTGATCTTAAACTTGTTTGGGCCATTGAAGATTCCATAGTGCCTAAGTTCTCTTTCTACTCTTCTGCTGTGCTGCCAGTTTTCTGTAATTTGGCTTTCTCCTAGATTCTTGTTGCTCTATACATAGTCTTTAATAGTATAT